CCTTATATAGGCGCCGGCTAACGGTTCTCCCACGCGGTCAGTGTTTTTCCATCGGCTCTTTCTTCGAGAAGCGGAGAACCTTGGTTTTCCGCTGACTCGGCGCGCAGCTCTTGCCTGCGCGCGCGCATTTCAATTGATGCCGGTCCCCGTTACGATTTTCCATTCATTTATTTTTTTTTATTCCGCTCGTCCCGCATGTTGGTCCCGGAAGACCGCTGTCCCCGCGGCTGACATCGTGACCCGGTAGCGGACGCCGCGTTCCGTCACCAGCCTGTTGGTGCGCCGGCCCGTCAGCCTCGCACCAGCCTGTGCGCGGACCACGGACTCGGGCAAATCCTTGGGCTCGAGCAGTTTCCATCGGCGCGCCGCGGGCTCCGACGTCTGTCGTTGGAGCGTCGGCCGATGTCCTCGTTGCGGTTCCGGGCACGAGGCTTGTCGCCTGAACGGTGGGACCGGTGGTGCCGCGTCTGCTGTCGGCCGCTTGAGCGTTGGTGCCGATGGTGCTCTGCCCTCTCCTCCCGTGCCAGGGCCTCTGCCCGCAGGATCGCCGCAGCCGCCCGAAGCACCCTCAGTGCCTCTGGCACCTCTGGCCCTGCCTCCGCTGCCTCCGGCCCCGCTGCCTCCGGCTCCGCTGCCTCTGGCCCCGCTGCCTCCGGCTCCGCTGCCTCCGGCTCCACTGCCTCCGGCTCCACCTCCCTCGGAGCCTGTTTCGGCGCCTCTTCCGCCGCGCTGGCCTTTACCCCACTCGCGCACGCCGTGCTCGCCGCCGGTCTCCGCCTTGGGTCGCGGCTGTTGCTGTGGGGTGGCGCCTCCTCCCATACCCGCGCCTCCTCTGGGTCCGGGTCCATCGGCGCAGGCCCCGAGTGTCTGGGCCCCAAGGCCCAGGTAATGTGCAGCGTTTGGTGGTGCCACACCATCCCCTCGCGTACCGCCGTTCGCACATCATGGGACACAAACGGACCGATCACGGCTCCCTGTGGACCCTGCCAGCCGGGCCCTGGTTGTCGAGGCTGTTGCTGTTGTTGCTGCCGCTGCTGCTGCTGCTGTTGCTGCTGCTGCTGATGCTGCTGCTGCTGATGCTGCTGCTCCGGTGCTGTCGGCACCCCCTGCGCCGCTTCCGTGGCCCCTTCCATGGGCTCTCCTGCTCCCCACATGGCCTCTTCTTCCTTCTCGGCTTGCCGCAGCCGCTCCTCCCAGCTCAGCTCGGCCTGCGGTATCCGAACCTCTGGCGCCTTCTCCGCACTCATCGAGGACGTGGTCGTGGGCGT